CCAGGAGGGCGGCGAAGAACGTTTCTTTTTTCTCGGTTCAGGCTTAGCCGAAGAAAAGGAAAGAGAACTGGAAGATTTTTTGAGAGCCAACATTGAGGTGTTCGCCTGGACACCTTATGACATGCCTGGCATTGACCCGGAGGTCACTTGCTACAGACTGAATGTCGACAGGTCGGCAAAACCTGTGATTCAACGAGCCAGAAGACCGACGTTGATGCACGTCGAAGCAGTAGAAGAAGAAGTAGACAAACTTCTGGAAGCCAGGGCCATCCGAGAAGTTCACTACCCGACATGGCTGTCCAACATAGTAGTAGTGAAAAAGAAGAACGATAAATGGAGGGTCTGTGTAGACTTTACCAGCCTCAACAAAGCCTGCCTCAAAGACAGCTTTCCTCTGCCCAAGATTGACCAGCTAGTAGATGCAACTTCAGGGCACGAAAGGATGGGTTTTTTGAATGCATACAGGGGGTACCACCAGATTGCCATGTACCCACTAGACGAGGAGAAGACTGCGTTCATCACCCCTAAAGGCTTGTACTGTTACAAGGTAATGCCTTTTGGGTTGAAAAATGCAGGAGCAACTTACCAAAGGTTAGTAACAAAGATGTTCAAGCACCTGATTGGCAAAACGGTAGAAGTCTACATCGATGACATGGTCGTGAAGACCAAGGAATCTAAGGGTCATCTTGCCGACCTAAAAGAAGTCTTTGATATACTTAAAACATACCGGCTCCGACTCAACGCATCAAAGTGCGCGTTTGGAGTTGGATCAGGTAAGTTTTTAGGGTATCTGGTAACAAGAAAGGGCATTGAGGCCAGCCCAGACCAAATCAAGGCCATCCTAGAGCTGAAGAGCCCAACGTCGGCAAAATAGGTTCAGATGCTTACTGGAAGGGCCGCAGCCCTAAACAGATTCATCAGCAGAAGCTCAGATAAATGCAGACCCTTCTTCAACTTAGTGAAAAAAGCCGCAGACTTTCTGTGGACAGAAGAATGCGAAGCCGCTTTAACCGACCTAAAAAAGTACTTGACCACAACTCCGGTTCTTTCCAATCCAGAACCAAGGGAAGAACTATTTTTGTATTTGGCAGTTTCAGAACACGCAGTCAGTGCAGTACTAATCCGAGAAGAAAAAGGGGAGCAAAAGGCCGTTTGTTATGTAAGTAAAACCTTGGCCGATGCAGAAACAAGGTATCTACCACTGGAGAAATTAATGCTAGCCTTAGTAATGGCTTCAAAGAAGTTAAACTATTACTTTCAGGCACACAAGATTGTGTTCTTAACAGAGCATCCACTGAAGTCCTTGTTACAGCAAGGAGACTTAACAGGAAGGATAGCAAGATGGGCCGTAGCCCTAGGTCAGTATGACCTGGAGTTCAGGCCGAGAACAGCAGTTAAAGGCCAAGTTTTGGCCGACTTCGTGGCAGAATTCACCCCCGAAACCATCAAACATCGGGCTCCGTTGAGCCAGGATGAGCATTGTCCCAGCAAGCAAAGAGAATCCCAACCAAAGGCAAAAGAGCAAAGAAAGGAAAAGCTCAGACCCTGCAGCATCTACATCGGCGACTTATTCAGACTATTCGTCGATGGAAGTTCGAACCGACAAGAAGCGGGGCCAGGAGTACTGCTGATATCTCTAGATGGAGAAATAATAGAACAGTCCATCCGTCTGGGGTTCAAGGCCTCAAACAATGAAGCGGAATACGAAGCATTAATTGCAGGGCTAAAACTGGCAGCAGCAGAAGCAAATGAGGTAATAGTTTTTTGTGATTCTCAACTTATTGTTAACCAGTCAACAAGTGAATTTGCAGCCAGGGACGAAAGGATGTCGGCATATGCAAAAGAGGTCATCAGATTGGCAGCCTTATTTCAGAACTGCCGACTACTACAAGTCAGCCGAGATGACAACACCCACGCCGACGTGTTGGCTTACCTGGCAAGTTCAATACAGACTGGAAAGACAAGAACAATTATGATCGACTATATGTCGGGCCCGAGCATAGAACCAGAGAGCACAAAGCAGCAAGCAATGTGTGTGGACATGGGGCCAAGCTGGATGGATGTAATTATTACATTCCTGAAAGAAGGAAAGTTGCCAGAAGATCGTAAGGAGGCACACAAAGTCAGATTGAAATCTGCAAGATTCTGTCTGACAGAAGATGGACACCTTTATAGAAGATCCATCACTGGACCCCTTTTAAGGTGCGTACACCCTTTGCAGGTTGAAGATTTCCTATATGAAATTCATGAAGGAATTTGGGGAAGCCACGCTGGGGGCAGATCATTAGCCCACAGGGCCATTACTCAGGGGTATTAGTGGCCCTACATGCAAAAGGATGCTGAAGCCTACGTGAAGAAGTGTGAACAATGCCAAAGGTTTGCACCTTTAATACATTAGCCAACTGCTGACCTGAACCCAGTATCCAGCCCTTGGCCGTTTGCCCAATGGAGCATGGATCTTGTCGGGCAACTTCCCTAGGCAACTGGGCAGAAAAAATACCTACTGGTGGCAACAGACTACTTTACCAAGTGGATAAAGGCAGAACCTCTTGCCAAAATCCGAGATGTGGACGTAAAGAACTTTATATGGAGAAACATCATCACCAGATTTGGGATTCCAAGAGCAATAGTCGCCGACAACGGAACATAGTTTGACAGCAAACTCATCAAGAACTTTTATGCCAAATTCAAGATCAAGAACTACTTTTCAACACCAAGTTTTTCCCAAAATAATGGTCAAGCAGAAGCATCTAACAAAGTAATTTTGGATGGACTAAAGAAGAGGCTGCAGGCAGTAAAAAGAAAGTGGGTAGACGAATTACCCAACGTGCTTTGGGCATATCGGACTACGCCGAGAAGATCAACAGGGGAATCCCCCTTTTCCATGGCTTATGGCACAGAAGCAGTCATCCCATTAGAGATCGGCATCCCAGGGATTAGGACCTAGGGAGTAGAGAATGGCACCAATGACATACTCCTAGCCCGAGATCTGGATCTTCTGGAAGAACGAAGAGAAAAAGCTGCAATTCAGCTGGCAGCTTGCCAGAGCTTACAACAAGAAGGTCAATCCAAGAGATTTTCAAGTCGGCGACCTAGTCCTGAGAAAAGTTGTCGGGAACAAGAAGGATCCCAGGGAAGGCAAGCTTGGCCCAAACTGGGAAGGACCCTACAGAATCACTTCAGTATTAGGCAATGGAGCTTATCGGCTTGAAGATAACGAGGGCAAAGCACTGCCAAGACCTTGGAACACTTGTAATTTGAAATTCTTCTATCATTAGATGTGCAGTATTTTTGGCCGATGTCATCAATAAAATCTTTCCCCTTTTCTTAAAACACATATATTTGATAAAGTTACATATTTGTGTTTTTTAAGACATGAATAATGAGAACCCAAGTAGAACTCAGGTTCACATTGGGGGCAGAGAGAAGACAGAGACACTTAATTCACTTGTTGAAATTTGTAGCAATTTACAAGTCGAAGTTAAGCCGAGATTATTCCTTAATTCACTTGTTGAAAATTGTAGCAATTTACAAGTTGGAATTAAGCTGATTCCTTATCTTCACTTGTTGAAATTTGTAGCAATTTACAAGTTGAAGTTAAAGCCGAGATTATTCCTTAATTCACTTGTTGAAATTTGTAGCAATTTACAAGTTGGAATTAAGCTGATTCTTTAGTTCACTTGTTAAAATTTGTAGCAATTTACAAAGTGGAATTAAGCTGATTCCTTAGTTCACTTGTTGAAATTTGTAGCAATTTACAAAATGGAATTAAGCTGATTCCTTAATTCACTTGTTGAAATTTGTAGCAATTTACAAGTTGGCATTAAGCTGATTCCTTAATCCACTTGTATTTACAAGTCGAAGTTAAGCCGAGATTATTCCTTAATTCACTTGTTGAAATTTGTAGCAATTTACAAGTTGGAATTAAGCTGATTCCTTAGTTTACTTGTTAAAATTTGTAGCAATTTACAAAGTGGAATTAACCTGATTCTTTAGTTCACTTGTTGAAATTTGTAGCAATTTACAAAGTGGAATTAAGCTGATTCCTTAATTCACTTGTTGAAATTTGTAGCAATTTACAAGTTGGCATTAAGCTGATTCCTTAATCCACTTGTTGAAATTTGTAGCAATTTACAAGTTGGAATTAAGCTGATTCCTTATCTTCACTTGTTGAAATTTGTAGCAATTTACAAGTTGAAGTTAAGCAGAGATTACTGTTTCTCTTCACTTGTTGAAATTTGTAACAATTTACAAGTCGAAGTGAAGCCGAGGTTATAGTTTGCACACTTATAGCAATCTACAGGTTGATCCAACCAAAGAAGAAGATACTTAACACTTGTTGAAATTTGTAGCAATTTACAAGATAATGTTAAACCGACATGTGATCATCTGTTGAAATTTACAGCAATTAACAGGTTGAGGTAAAAGCTAAGTGTATTGTTTAAACACTTGTTGAAATTTGTAGCAATTTACAAGTTGATCATTGTTATTACTTGAGAAAAAATTTACAGTATATGGTAACACTTGTTGAAATTTGTAGTAATTTACAAGTAGGTTAGACCGAGATCACTGTTTAAATACTTGCTGAAACTTGAGAAGAAGCTTGCAAAGTTAAACATTGAATGGTATATGTTAAACACTTGTTGGAATTTATGAAGAGTTTGCAGGTCTGTATCTTGCAGAAGTAAAACGTTATTGTACCCGAGGTACGTAGCCCCGAGAAGATTGCACAAAGGAGACAAAATGGAAAGGCATGCAAAATATTCCAAGTATAGAGTCATACAGACGCAATTAAGAGAAATTAAAGATTAAAGCGTTCAGACGAAAACAGTTGCAATTGTATACAAAGAAGGCCCTACGGCCAACCAGAAATAAAGTTGTATTCAACAGAAGCAGAAGATACATCAGCTAACTAGAAGAGCTTACATTGTTTCAAAACCAGAAGTACAAAAAAGCTTATATTATCCAAAGAAACAAAAAGAGTACGGAAGACATCCAAGTTATGATTCTTTAGTCTCAGAAGCGATTTGGGTCTGGACCTCGGCAGATTCCTGGGGAACTACTTCGGCAGCCTTCTCTGCAGCCAGCTCGGCATCAATCTCTGCAAGCGTTTTGTCAAGACTTCTTTCAGCTAAGAGAAGGTCGGATGATAATTGCCCTGTAACAGCTTCCCTTGGCGCCTCCCCAACCTCATCACCCTCTTCATCCAAGGTTAAGTCCATAACTTGCTCAGTTGGACGAGGGGACTTGGCCTCAGTAGCATCCTTGGATTTCCTCACCAACGCCTCATCATCATTATTATCCTCATCCTCGGCTTCAGACTCAGACTCAGATTCTTCTTCGGCCTGACTTGGAGGTGGAAGAGGAGGAAATGTGAGAGGAATAGCATCGGCATTGTAGAAAGGCGAGTCAACAGGGAGATCAAGTTTTTTTATCAGGGACATCCAACCAAGGGAAAATCCCATGTTGCATGCCTGCCTGACTTGAAGCTTGTAATCCTCAGTGACGTCGGCCACGCCCTGAGCATATGCCTTCTCATCAGCCTCTTTGATTTCGGCTTCTTTTGTGGCTAAGGCTTCCTGAAGTTCCTTCTCGGCCTGGGCCGCTCTTGCCTCGACCTCTTTCTTTTGGGATTCAGCAACTGTCTTGATGGCCTCAGCAGATTCGGCCTTTTCCTCGGCTAAGGTTTGGGCTTTGGTGGCAGCCTCAGCCTGGTCTTCCAGCTTTTTCATTTTTGAAAGGAGATTTTTGTTCTCCTTTTTGAGGGCAGAAACCTCCCTCCTCAGGTCGACCAGCTTCTCTCGATTCTGGAAAGATTGCATTGAAAATGAGTGGGCATGCTGGATGGCCTGAAAGAAAACAGAAGTGTTAGAAAATATTTTTAAGTACAAAACAGAATAGAAGAAAAAGTACTAAGCAGGAACGCTTACTTGAACAGAGTGCTGGAGCATTAGGGCATAGTTCTCATATTCACTATACCCGGCATTCCGCTCCAAATCACCAGGAAGGAGCAGCGCCGTAGTAAGGGCAACGCCGACATTTATGTCATCGGCGCTTTCATTGGTCATTATGGGCCTATCTTCCAGAGTAATCTGGGGAGCCCAAGGAACATCAGATTTTTTGGACCCCGAGGTCGTCGCAGACGATGACCTCGGCTTTTTGAGTTGAGTAGATTGTGATAGCTGGGATTCTGCACGCCTCTTCCCAGCGGAAGGTTGAGATTTGCTGCTTTCAGCCAGCTTGGAGATGGGTAGAGTATCCTCAGCCTCAACCTCAGTAGCCTTGGCCTTAGGCTGGGCCTTCTTAGTTCTTTTTGGCTTCGGTGGGGGCAAAGGTTGGGTCGGAACAGCATCGACGTCGGTTGGAAGGTCGGCTAGGAGATCTTGGGCAACAGGCTTCGGGCGACCCATCTCAGCAGTTTTTACGAGTCTTCGCCGACGTTTTCTTTCTGGTATGAGGATTAGGTATGGGCCAGAAGTTGATGGTTGGTCGACTGGATCAGAGGTTGACCCTTGGTCAGCCCGAGATGTTGATGCTGTTTGTAGAGTGGTAGCAGAGGGAGGAGATAGGCTCTTCTTCTTTCTTTTTGGGACGTCGGGCAGCGTGGATTTGTATGTTAGAATAAAATTCAGTAACAGGGGAGCCTTGCGCTTGTGGATTGGAAGATCTAGAAGCTTCTTTAAATCTTTTCCAGGGAAGAAGGATTGGCGGAAGTTTTTTGGTGGCTAATGAAGATCTGCAGGACAAGCAAACAGACATTAGAAACAGACAAAGTTTTGAAGACTTGGAAAAGAAATAACTAAGTATTGATGCTGGGCTCTTACCCTTGCCCTCTTTAACTGTTCGAGGAAGAGGGTAGAGGTGAACATCTTCGTCTGGACCAAATTCTTAATTTCCCGAAGCAATGACAAAGTCATCTCCAGCTCCCTTGTTGGAGTCCGGGAGGTCGGCTACAATTTTGAATTCAGTAGACCTCAGCTTGAGGTAATTGACGTAACCTTTTTCCTTCAGGTTAAGGGGCACATGGTATAACAATATTGTACATCGGCAAGGGTGATCCTAACATTCTCTTGCCTAGCTAGGGCTATGATACCAAAAATCACTCGATAAGAGTTTATGACAAGTTGCATAGGGTTCAGCTTACAATAATGCAAAATCTCACGAAAAAAGAATGTTAAGTGGAAGCCGAAGTCCACACTCAGTAAAGGCTACAATAGGGAGAGGCATGGTGTTTTTGGTAGGCATGATGGAGTCACCATCCCCAGCCAGTTTCAGATGAACATCGACAGGGATGGAGAACTTCTGCCTAAAGTACTCAAGTTTGGTCGGGGTATCAACCCTATGTCTCCACATGCCCATAACGTCGGCCTAAAGTCAGAGGGCTAGATTTCAGGAAGAAGGTGCTCTTAAGGGATTATTGGGACCTCGGCAAAACCCTAGGTAAGGACTGATAAGGCTCGTTTCAGTTTTCCTTAAAAATTGAAGGTTCTATAGACAAAACCCAAACCTAAATCTATGAAGGCAAAGATTGAAAGCAAGAATTAAAGGCAGAGATCTGGAAAACAACACAGGAAACAAGAAACAAAGAATGACGTTTTAGAATCAAGAACAGAGGTATGGTTCTCAAAAGCAAAAGAAATACAGGCTCAAGAACAAAGGCAAAAAAGTATTGAAACAGTACAAGTGTTCAAGACATGAGTGAAATCATGGAATGAGTGCGTCCAGACAAATAGTTTAGTAAAATCAAAGGTTTGAAACAAAGCAATAATGGTAGCAAGTAAACAAAAGCACATAGAAGGAATTTGGAATAAGAGGAACAGAGGCTTACCAGAACAAATGAAGCCGGAATAAAAGGTCGCCGAGGTAAGGCAACGGTTGCAGACACAGCGGAACGGCGAAAGCTTCAAAGAAAAAATGAAGATGATTGCAGAGCTTGGAGCTAGAGCAATGGCGGATTTGAGAAGGTTTAAGAGAGAGAGAAAGCCAGAAAAATCGAAAACAAAAGTAAAGAAACGAAAAGAAATGGGGAAAAGTTTTGTAAAAAACTTGAAACGGCGGCAAAAGCAGGGCATTTATTACGCCTGGAGCAATGCACACGTCAGACGGCGCAGATGGGTGAAATACAGCTTTCAGGTGCGTCACGGACACGGGTCAATGAAGATAAAGCACGTGAGGGGAACTGTTGAGAAAAGGTGCATAACAGCTCATGCGCGTGGATTAGTTCGTTTGAGTTCATGTTCTTTAATGAAGGCATGTCGGCCTAAAATGAATGATCTCGGCCAAAAAGTTCTTACGCCGAGGTACTAAAAGAAAATACAGACATAGGTTCCATCACCTCAGAATGCCGAGGTAATAGAACCTAGGGGGCAGTTGTGGGGATGTATTTTCTGTGAATACCAACACGTGGCATGGCGACGCCGACGTGTCAGCCGAGGTGCCACGTGTCGTGGTAGTTATGCCGAGGTTACCTTTGGCAAGGCTGAGGTTATCTCCGAGGATATCGAAATCCGAGATAAGCGGAGAAATGGATAAGGGGCAAGAGTCCTAGAGAAAAGAGAAGACTTAGCCAAGATAAAGATAAAACTCTTAGGGAGTTCTATCTTTATCTCTTGAAGAGTCCAAATCAGTATTGAATTAGAGTCCATAGAAGTCAGGCTTCTAGTGGGACTAGGATTGAGTAAACTATAAAAGAGAGGCACTCCCGTGGGTCTAAGGTACGTAGTTTTATACTCAAGCTTGTGAGTTTAGCACTTGATTATCTTTGAGAGATATACTGACTTGATCGTCGAAGTGCCCCCGGGTGGAGGAGCCACCGCCGGAGCCCTTTTCTTTCTGTTACAGGTTTACTAAAGCCATCTATTCTGCCGGTACTCTTCAGCTGATTACTAGGCGGGCAGTGTGGTAAGAAAATCACCCACACACATAAGAATGAATCTAAATAAAAAATTTAGATATATAATATCATTGCTTTTTTGGTATAACCTTATTGGTGAAGTGTCATGTCACGTTTTTATTAAAAATAAAAGGTGCAAATTTTATTGGAGAAATGAAAACAATTTTAATTGATAAGCAAGGTGTCCAGAAAAAGCAAGTCAGTGTCGAAGATTAGGGTCCATTGATCTTATGTATGTACGACTCTTCAAAATGATAGGGCAGCAAATACATAAACATTATGGTGGATAAGGTGTTCTTTTAGATAAAACTCTTAGGGAGTTCTATCTTTATCTCTTGAAGAGTCCAAGTCAGTATTGAATTGGAGTCCATAGAAGTCAGGCTTCTAGTGGGACTAGGATTGAGTAAACTATAAAAGAGAGGCACCCCGTGGGTCTAAGGTACGTAGTTTTATACTCAAGCTTGTGAGTTTAGCACTTGATTATCTTTGAGAGATATACTGACTTGATCGTCGAAGTGCCCTCGGGTGGAAGAGCCACCGCCGGAGTCCTTTTCTTTCTGTTACAGGTTTACTAAAGCCATCTATTCTGCCGGTGCTCTTCAGCTGATTACTAGGCGGGCAGTGTGGTAAGAAAATCACCCACACACATAAGAATGAATCTAAATAAAAAATTTAGATATATAATATCATTGCTTTTTTGGTATAACCTTATTGGTGAAGTGTCATGTCACGTTTTTATTAAAAATAAAAGGTGCAAATTTTATTGGAGAAATGAAAACAATTTTAATTGATAAGCAAGGTGTCCAGAAAAAGCAAGTCAGTGTCGAAGATTAGGGTCCATTGATCTTATGTATGTACGACTCTTCAAAATGATAGGGCAGCAAATACATAAACATTATGGTGGATAAGGTGTTCTTTTATTAGCCATTTTGTTTGAGCACACATTTTTTTTGGCTACCCCATGACCCGTGATATTTTGGTTCAAATTTTATTCCCCCCATTACAAACTGTAGTCACTTTACCCTCAAGAAAATTATTATATTTTGCCCTTCTATTCTCCTGATTTGTTTCAATTTCAATTTTCTATTAACATTTTGTTATAAAAAATTAACATATGAGTTGTACATGCTAATTTTATAAATAAATTGTTATGCAAAAAGTAGTTCATATACATATATATGTGATAAATATATGAATATATATTTTCACCTTGGTTATTAAAATGACATTGCATATATGTTTCTCTTACATAATTTTTTTGTAAGAGAAAAATAGTATATATATACACGTCTCTCACTATATATAAATAAATCAACTCTTCAATAAGTATTTTGATCATAAAATTGATATGTACAATATACTGGTCACTATTTTATAATAAAATGTTAACATAACGTTGAGATTGAAATAAATTTTTTAAAAAATATAAAAAAAATAATTTTTAATTAAAGAGTAAAGTGATAATAAGGGTTTTTATTTTGCATATAATTTGAGTTTGGAGTTATTGATTGTACTGTTGTTCAAAATTGTGAAATTAAATAAATAGATTTATGAAGAAAACAAATTATATACCAAGAACATATGCTGATAATTACAACTAAATTTCAACAGAAATACACAAAAAACAATAAAGGGTAAAGAGACAAAACCGAAGCCTACACGGAAGCAGCTTGTTGTTCAAAATTGTGAAATTAAATAAATAGATTTATGAAGAAAACAAATTATATACCAAGAACATATGCTGATAATTACAACTAAATTTCAACAGAAATACACAAAAAACAATAAAGGGTAAAGAGACAAAACCGAAGCCTGCACGGAAGCAGTTTCCTTAAAACAGATTTCGCCGCCTCACGGGTCGAGTGCTTGAGGAAACCCGGCGTCTGTCTCCCAGGATACGACGGTCAAAACCAGCTACGGCAGAAGCACTATCTGTCTAGCTTAGCGAACAAAACAATGGCAGCACTCTCTCACAATAGGAACTATCAAGCAAACTGACTTGTAAAATGGAAGCAAAAATTTCTATATTGAAACTTGACAGGAGGGTCTCAATTTATACATGTATAGGGGAGAGAGAAAAAGCCTCCAGCCTTTAAGGCTAGTCATTAAAACACCAAGCATCCATAGCCCCTTTCCACAAAATGAAAAGTATGGATGCCCAAAGGATTCACACCCTTTAGCCAAGAAAAAAGATTTAAATACCCTTAAAATCTCATTCATGAATCTAACATCATGAGGCAATTTCTTATTCAATTCTCAATGGTTTTGGGCCCACTTGGACCTAACACAATAGATGATTGGGACCCACTTTAATATTTAATTAAAGTCACCACACTTTAATATTAAATTAAAATCCCCAAAAATCATTTTTTCCAACAACTATATGTGTCCCTAGTCAATACATGTTTACATCTTCAAACATTACCTATAATTGTGTCCGAAGAACATAAAAATATGAAACATGAACTAAACTGAATTTATTGAAACGGATGCACAAAGACGAAATTCAAAAAACAGTAAATTTGTTATTTATAATACATACCGATCCATTAACTCTTCTAAAGCAAATCAAGAAAACTATATTCGTTGAACAAATCCAGTATTCTAAAAAAAAAATAAAAAAATACCAACCTAGAGCTTGCAAAAAGCGATTTTTATGATTAACTAAGAACAAGTAAATAACAATTTGGAGTGTAAATCTACACTTGCAGGTATCACTAATAGAAGGAATGGCTGGAGGTTTAACCTCCTCAGTGACATACCACCGTTACACGCAATTAGGTTGTCCCATTGAACCTAGATCTTGGGATCTCAAGTCAACTAGGTTGGGTTTCCATTCCGGTAACTTCCAAAGGCTTTAACCCCATTCCTTTTGATGACGTTTCGACTAACACTTGACTTAACCCTTTGGTTAGCGGATCCGCAATGTTGTCCTTAGACTTTACATAGTCTAAAGAGACAACTCCATTCGAGAGTAGTTGTCGTATGGAATTATGTCTACGACGGATATGTCTAGACTTTCCATTATACATATTACTCTGTGCCCTACCAATTGCAGATTGACAATCACAATGAATACAAATAGCTGGCACAGGTTTAGACCAACGTAGAATATCTTCAATGAAATGGCGAAGCCATTCTGCTTCTTCCGTTGCTTTATCCAAAGCAATAAACTCTGATTCCATCGTTGATATAGATATACAAGTTTGCTTAGAAGATTTCCATGACACGGCTTCCCCACCAAGAGTGAACACATATCTACTAATGGACTTTGAGTCCTTTATATCTGATATCCAATTCGTGTAACTATATCCTTCAAGCACCGTTGGATATCGAGTATAATGCAGCCCATAATCTCGAGTGTAGTGTAAATACCTTAACACCCGCACAATGCCCTTCCAATGAGAAGCATCAGGATTACTTGTGTATCTACTAAGCCTGCTAACCGAGTAAGCTATATCTGGCCTAGTACAACTCATCAGATACATTAAACTTCCAATTACCCGAGAATATTCTAACTGAGAGACACTCTCTTTATTATTCTTGGTAAAGTGTAGACTTAAGTCTACAGGTGTCGATGACACACTCGTATCTGATCCACTAAACTTCTCAAGTATCTTATCAACATAATGAGACTGAGAAAGTACAAATCCGCCAGAGATTCTGGTAATCTTAATTCCCAGAATAACATCTGCAATGCCCATATCCTTCATGTCAAACTTAGAGTTTAACAACTTCTTGGTAGTTTTGATCATTTCATCGTTACTACCTATAATGAGCATATCATATGACCTAATCAACATCTAATACAAAAGGTTAGAAGGCAATTTTAATTTTTTACCCTAGAACTTAGAAGGAAAGTAAATTTGATTAATAAAAAAAAATTGAAATTAGGAACCAAGCTCAAGCTCTTTTGAAGGAAAACACAAGTATAGGACCAAACTATATCATTTCATTAACTATCATTACTTGGAAGTCATTTCATTTTTTTTTTTC